GGGGAGGTGGTAAGTGGTTTTACGTCGCTCGCAACTGCATAAGGTCATATGAGCGAGCGAGACACACTACACATTTTCAGTTGGTAGGAAATTTTTTATTTTGCCGGGGTCGCGGCCAAAGCCTACTCTTATCGATTTTGGACCACTAAGGGATCTTTAACGTGCACAACTTGGACATGGGACCTCCGAGATTTTTCGCCCTTGCCCGAGAAAGCTAGGTATAGCCTTTCCTACTATAAAGATCAGGGGTGTGGGTGAAAAACAGCAGTAAGAAGGAGCCGAGGAGAAGCAGTAGAAAGGCTGCAGAAAGAGTCTGCTTCTTTTGTGTGTTTGTCACACTCTTGTGAACTACTATTTCGGGGGTGCCTTGATAGTTGGAGCAGACTTTGTGCTGTTGAGGCTTGAGAGATGAGCAGAGTAAGCCTGATTCCCCGTTTGGACTTCTCTGCTGACATCCGCACCATGGCGCTCATATGACCTTATGCAGTTGCGGACGCCGTAAAACCCCTACTAGTGGGTAGTTGGCGGGTGCTCTGGTGTGGTTTGCTCCTTCTTTCCTGTTAGACATCTGTCGTTATCTCCCCTCCTTCTATTTTGTGTTTGTTACTCTCTCTTGTAACACTTCTAATCTTCTGCTCTTATATGACCTTATTGTGTTGCAAGTGCCGTAAAACTTTTACTAAAACTAAAGTCTTGGCTCTAGGTGTAGTTACAGTTTTACAGCACTTGCAACACAAATAGGGTCATATAAGTGCCGAAGATTATGAGAGGTGTTGCTCGAGAGTAATATACAAAGAAATGGCGATGGGGGGGGGGATACGGCAAGACGATAGCTGTTTGATAAGAAAGAAGGAGCAAACCACACCAGAACACCCGCCAGCCACCCACCCTACGCTCAGGTGAGCCTTGTGCCACCCATCCACACTTGTCCCATTAATTGTTTAAAATACGATATGTTTACGAAAGGAATGGGAATTGAGCTTTTGTTGTTTGTTTTTTTGTAATAGAAAATGGAAATGCGCATCGCTAATGTTATTTATTATAATTAGAATAATCTGAGTGTAGTGGTGCTCATATGACCGTATACAGTTGTGAGCGCAGTAATACCTCTACTGAAACAAACAAAAAACCTATCTCAAGGTAAGCATTGTGTTCCGTTTGGAGTGGAATGAATCTGTTCTCTGTCGTGTAAAACACGGTGCCTTGTTGGGGGTCGCATTTCTTTCCACAGGGAACATAACCTGAGCTGGTATTATGTTGCCTTTATGCTAATCAGTTGGGACATAATGATACTGCTGCTTCCACAAACTAGTGGAAATGTATCGTATGTTGATATCACTTTCACCAGCAGCCAGTCCCATATCTGTCTGTTACTCTCTCGTGACATCCCATATCTGTCTGTTACTCTCTCGTGACACCTCTAATTTCCAGCTCTTATACGACCTCATTTTTTTGGCAAAACTTCAAAGACTTATATAGTGGGTGGTTGGTGGGTGCTCTGGTGTGGTTTGCTCCTTCTTTCCTATCAAACATCTGTCATCCTTATCTCTCCTCCTTCTTTTTTGTGTTTGTTATTCACTCTTGTAACATCTGTAATTTTCGGCACTTTTATGACCTCATTGTGTTGCAAGAGATATTTGCGATTGAAGGTGGTGGGGTTGCCAAGTTTCAGTGGTTAAATTAATGAGAAAATGACAGCCAAAGTTTAATAACTTCAGTTGCTTAAGAGTCCTTAAAAACTGAAAATTCCATGTTTTTTGCCTTTTTAACAAGGTTTTTCAGTAAACTTTTTATGGAAATGTGTTTTCATTTGAACGTTAAAGGTGTGTAGCCAAAAAACAAAATTTCGATGAAAATTGAAAAAGTGATGGAAAAATGACTTTTTCTTTGATTTCATTATTTTGACAAGCGCCTGATTTCACCACGCTGCCTTACATATATAGTGGTTGGTTGGCGGGTGCTCTGGTGTGGTTTGCTTCTTCTTTCCTATCAAACATCTATTGTCCTTATCTCCACTTTTTCTTTTTTATGTTTGTTACTCTCTTGTAACACCTCTAATCTTGTGGCGCTCATATGACCTTATGCAGTTGCGAGCGCCGTAAAAATCTCTACTAAAAAACAAAAAACCTCTTACTAAAAATTTTTTAAATAAAAAAAATGACCTCATTTTG